GGTACCCTTATATCCCACCTGTCCCCTTTGGCACCCCTAGCCACAGTACCCCTGCACCCCTATCCATGGTCCCCCCACGCCCTTCTCGTAACCCCTCTGCACCCCCTTGTCCCATACCCCCCTGTACCCTTCCTCCTGCTGCACCTCAATATACCCCTAAGCACCCCATATCCTCCTGCTCCTCTGGCCGTTCAGCACCCCTCAGACACTGAGAGGTCACCTTCCTGTAGTCCCCCCCGCCTCCCTGCTAGCCCTCCGCCCCACCCCCAGTTCCCTGCCCCCCCAGCTCCTTTCCTTGTGCCTCTCCTGCACCCCCTGGACAGGCAGTGTCCCCCTTTCCTTACCTGCACCCCCTTGCATCAGCATCCTGCCCCCCCTGCCTGCACTCCCCCTGGACTTCTAACCACTGGGTAACCCCAACCACCATGCATCCCTGCCCTTCTTCCCCCCAAAACCCCCTTCCCCACCTTGCTGCCCTCCTTCCCTCCCTATTAGCCCCGCTATGCCCCAGCCAGCCCTTCCCTGGGTCTCATCCCACATGTGGGCATCAGTTTGCCCTGGCACCACGTTTGGGGCAGGAACATGCACTTTGTGGGGAGGATCAAAGGATGATGTGGGACACGCACTCCATCCTGCCCCCATTCCCAAGTTGAGGAGGCTTCTCTCATGGTGGCAGCATCCCAGGACTTGCACTGGGGAGACCTTTGCCCCATCCTGCTTCGGTTTCTGTGACAACTGAGCTCTCCAATGGACTTTGGAGGGGCCGGTGTGCGATTAACCACCTTCCCACCCTCCCCCAGAGCTTTGCAGCCCTGGTACCTGACATGGCACCTGGGAAGCCTGGGAAGAGCACGGGGGCCACAGAGGACCCCTCTGTTACACTTTTCCGGGAGTACCTGAAGATTGACACCATCCACCCCAAACCTGACTATGGTGAGGATGGGGGGATGGGAGGGGGAGCTGTGCGGGGATCCTCAATGTGGCTTTTGCAGCTCTGGTCTTTGGACCTGGGTGCCCAAGTCCTCGGCTGGGGCTGTTTTGGTTGTGGTGTTAAGGAGCAGACACCTTTGTGTCTTATCTCTGCCAGCGCCTTTGATTGGGGCAGGAACGCCTCGAGTGTACCCAGAGCTGCTGTTTGCTTCCTCCAGACCTGTGCCCAGGGCCTCCCCTTTTCACGCTGCTCTGGCTCTGGGGTGGATGCATGTAGTAACCCCACGTAGATCTCCTTCCATTAATGTTTC